TATCCACACACATATCGCAACCGTAGAAGAGGAGGCAATGATTAGAGGGCTGAGGAGACGGGATGAAAAAGCGAGTTTGTTGAAACGGACCTTACATAAAGAATCCATTCCATGGGTAAAGTCACTACCACACAAGGTTAGAAATGATTTTAAACAACTGAGCCTGGCAGTGATTCGGAAGTTTGGAGAATATTCGACACTCACGGAGGGGTTTTATGCTGTAAAATCGATGACCCAGGGCATGGACCAAGATCCACGTGACTACCTCGTCCAATTTAAAAGAGCGTATTACGCAGGCGATGTGAATCAATACCACGAAGGAGATAAAATGTTCAAAATTATGTTTTTTGAATCCTTGAGCCCAGAGATTACAGAAAGGGTGAGAATGGTTTTGAATCCAGAAACCGCATCCTTACGCCGCATAGAGAGCAAGGCGTACATGGCATGGTTATACAGAGCTAAGAATCATAATTCGGATCCAGAACACAGGGAGAGGGATGAGGAACCCAGCCTCTCAGAGAGGAATAAAAATCACCGAGCAGTCCCACCATGCAGGACGGAGCAGAAACGCACGCACACATGGCAAAATAACCCAGAGAGAGGTTGGCACGAGAATGAGAGCGGCACAAAGCCGAACATTCAGGAGAATCGCAGGAGGGGGAGGTTCAGAATAGAACCATACCAACACCCCATGCCACGACACACACAAGATCAAAATTACCCACAAAGATGGCGAGGTAACAATCCAGGAAAAATTTGGCACCCAAATGGGAGAAATACTGGGCTAAAAATGTACGAGAATCGCAGGAGGGAGAGGTTCAGAGCAGAACCATATCAACACCCCATCCCACGACACACGCAAGGTTCAAATTACGCACAGAGATGGCAAGATAACCACCTAGCGGGAAGGTGTTACACAGACCGCGGAGGTATGGATGCGGACATTCAGGAGAATCGCAGGATGGGAGGTCAAACACAATCGATCCAATTCCGACCAATTCCTCCACCGGCTATACCAAGAGGGAATAGAGGAATAACACAGAATGCGGTCCAAATACGTGATGAACCATCCACAGTGAGTGCGAGCGAGCGGCCAACACGCGCCCCACCCGCCGAGGTGTTAAACCCTGAGCAGGCTGCAAGTGACAGGGCTGAATTGAAGTGTGATCGGACGGTGGATAGCAGACAGCAGAGACAAAGAGAGAACACAGAGACACGCCCTGAGGAGCGCAGGCGTGAGCCTTTGAATGGAAAATATCCAAGGGAAACCAAAATGTATGTGGATCGGAGTGCTAAAATGGAGACGAATGTTCATGACATATCAGGAATGGTGTTGGAATCTAACACACTCGTAAAAACAAAGAGGGCAACATTACGAGGCACAGAATTAAGTCGACACACTGACTCGGCAAATGTGCATGTAATCGCAGAGAGAGCGAATGCCACGAACCAAGTGTCAAAATGGGTCGTGTGCGCGAATTCTGGTTACGTGCAGCACAATTTTTCACCACACACTCCCACGACGCGAGAGAGTGAGAGAGGAAACTACAAAAACGAACCCGAAAACCGTGATCAAATTATCAAAGTGATAAGTGGTAAACCAGGCAACATGAGGAAGGTAACGCATAAATGCGTTCGAAACCGCTACCTAGCGTTTCCCAGGATTTAACAAAACAAAATGAATGTTCGTCAGAGTTATGATGTATGAGAACCGATGTAACGCAATATCGATGTTAACGGGTTGTTATTTTCTTTGCTTAATTCAAATGTAACCAGGATTTAACAAAAACAAAAATTAATATTCGCCGGAGTTATGATGTATGAGAACCGATGTAACGCAATATCGATGTTAACGTGTTGTTTATTTTCTTTGCTTATTTCAGATGTAACCAGGTTAAGATGGTAATACGTGCACGCGCGTCGTAAGAAATAACCGCCGAGAGTAAGGGCGGCTGATGGGATTCATGACATAAAAAGGGGGCATTACTTTGTTTGAAAATTCGCCAGTGGCCAAATCGACCCCTGATAATTTTCAAACGGGCGGACTGTTGTGTATGTACCCCCTTTTTATTTTTTTTAATATTATTTTTTTTAAGGCTTATTCTGCCATCATATATAATATTGTTTTTTTAATAGACACGGGGCCACGTGGGAACGAACACGCCCCCACACTTCCACAGAGGCCCCCACACTTCCACAGATGCGCGCATACCTCATTTCAAAGGAAAGAGGACATGACAGGGGGGGCAATAAGGTAATAAAAAAAAAAACTCCCCTAAATTCACACAAGAGGAACAAGGGAGGGGGGGAATTGCAGGCGGGGGGTTGCAGAACCAGGAGACACGGAGGAAGAGATAATTATATTCTGAACAAAGATAAGCCGGGATATCAGATTAAATAATCACAAGAAGTCAAATAATAAGTACGGAATTAAAGTAGAAGAGGAATCAAGGGCGGAGAAGGCTCTCAAAATTAACCAAACACAACACCCATGGGAAGCGAGCAACACGGCCGCCTTTGTCTTTCCGAGAGGATCTCCACACACAGGCACCAAGCTAGGAAATGACACCCATAAAAGGGGCAATGGCTCAAAGGAAATAAACACGTCTTCGAATAAATAAGCGCATGCGCCGGGTGCTCCCACCGTGGAAACAACCGCCTTTGTCTCCCCACAACACGGACAAACACGCACGCGAAACACACGGACGGACACACACACGGACGCAGATGGTTCAGCCCACAGGAAGGTTTTATGACACAGCCTTTGAACAACTCGGGAAGCCGAGTGGAAGTTTCCGATATAAACCGAAGGAAAATCCATACAAAGCATATCATCCGGGCTTTGGCTCCAACGCAGATCGACAGGGGCTCTGGCCCCCATCACATATCGTCCGGGCTTCGGCTCCAACACAAGATATCATCCGGGCTACGAGCCCATCTTCGGCTCCACCACAGATCTTCACGAGCTCCGGCCTACATCTCATCTCGTCTCCGGGCTAAGGCCCCACCAGAGTTCTCCAGGGCGACAACCATCTCTCCTCGTCGCCGCCAACGAAGAAGCTCCTGTCATTCAGAATGACGAGGTTTGCGGAGTAGCGACGCGTAGCTACAAGCCGAGGTCTGCACCACCTGAGAGGAATCGCTACCCTGAGTCGCAGAGCTGCGAGTGAAGCCAACAAAGACGCCAACGTCCACCCTGCCACGAACGAAGCATCGCTCCTCGTCAGAGTGACGACCAGCGAACAACCCGCAGGAAAGGCGGAGATCGCTGAACGAGCGCTGACCGTGCGCCACCTTGCGCCACCGTGCGCCACCTTGCGCCTCCGTGCGCCACCGCGCGCCATCGAGCGACAACGAGCGACACCTTGCGCCACCGAGCAACACCGAGCGACACGAGCGACCGAGCATCTTCAAGGACAGCATCGTGCCAACTCGTCATCTAGCAGTAGAAAGAGAGAGCGCACGAGCAGCACCAAGCCCCCGGAACCATCAAGCGCCAAGCAAGCAAGTTTCTTCAAGGAACATCGTGCCAACGCTGCTCAATCCAGCAGTGGAGAGAGAGAGAGAGAGCAAAAGCCGAGCGACACGCCGAGCGAGGGAGCAGCAGCAGCTGTTCGTATCCTCCCACACCACACAAGCTAACGACACAATTAATATTACGAGAGGACAACGCACACACAGCACGCACACGAATAAGACTTTCAAAAAGTGATCTTTGCGTTTCAAAAAGGGTTGCCATTTCGAGGTGGTGCGTTCAATATCAACTGATCGTGCAAAGCAGTTGCTGCCGTCGAGTTACATAAATGCATAAGAGTTTTCGTTATTCATATTGCATAATTGCATAATTTCGCAACTGCATAAGTTTTTGTCGTTCATATTAGTTAATTGCATAATCTTGCCCATGAATTATTGACTCATGTTTGACCTGCATGATAGAATGTCGCGTGCTTGTTAGAATAAAATTGTTATCACAGAAGCATATTGAGTGTTCTTTCCAAGTCCATGCAAAACCATCTTATTCATAAGAGCTGTATCCTGCGATGAGATATGAAAATGGAGACCTAAAATATTATAACACACACTAGGATAATCGGTAAATGAATCTATGATAATCGTGTTATCCTGATTGATAACTCTGGATAAACGAAACTAAGCAAATTATCATAACTGCACACATTAACATAATCGCAAACCTCCGCATAAATTACTACGATTATCATAATTTATGCATATAATCACACGCATTATCATAATTTATGCATATTAATACACACACTATCATAATTAATGCGATTTGCGCATTTTTCGGAAAATTATTAATTTTTATTATTTTCATCAAAATTTCATAATCACAACACATACAACAATAGCTTCCTCAACGTCCATAAGAAGGGAAGTTTCACAACATTTGTGTGATAGACCAACCCTCACTGCCTCCTCCACAGTGCTGAATTACAGGCATGCGCCGCCACCAAAGATGTGATAAATTATTACAAAAGTGATCGGAAAATCCCCCCCAGAAGAATGCGTATGAAATTGTCCATTAAAAGTCCGAAAGGCAGAACACATTTCATACCTAGCAGCGCTGGTCTTTGCTCTGCTGTGCGGATCACTGGCTAGCCGCCATACGCTCATGCTGCACGGCAGTGCTCAAGCGGGTAGGCGAGATGTTAACTACCTCGCCTGGTATACAGGAGATCGTGGGTTCGATCCCGACCCTGACGCCTGCTGTATATTTGGAGTGTGTATGTTCTCCCCGTGGTCGCGTGGATTTTTCTCCAGGTCCTCCGGTTTTTCCCTCCACATTTAGAATCAACATCACGCGTTTAGACTATTTGGCTGCTCTTAATAAATGTCCACATGACAAGCCACTTCATTGGGCTATCATTTGTGATAGCCAGGTCACTTCTGAAAAATAGCTACAAAGCTCAGTGGGCCTTACCTGGTAAAATATAAAAATAAGTTTGGTTGCGTTTAGGGTGTGGGCCGGGCACACGTACCAGCAGGATGCTCTCCCAGGCCATCCAGCGGATGGGCAGCACGGCACGGCCCTGGATGCGGTAGTAGTCCCCACTGTACAGGTTTCGGCTCATGCCGAAGTCGGCGATCTTGATCGTGTGGTGCTCCCCTACCAGGCAGTTGCGAGTGGCCAGGTCCCGGTGCACAAAATTGAGGGACGACAGGTAGGCCATGCCCGACACGATCTGGCTGGCCATGTACACCAACTTGTCGAGCCTGGTGTGGTGGCGGCGGCGGCAGCGTTGGCACGCGGGAGAGACGGGGCGAGAGACGGAGACCCCCACACATCTCCCGTGAGCGTTGTGGTCGGGAGAGGCGAGCAAGAGAGCTCTCGGTGAAAATAAAAACACGACTGAGCGAAGCCGTGCAACACTAGGGGGTCACATATCAAATCATGTATGTTGAACTTCTTTCGCACCATGCTTAGCCAACCGTGCTAATCGGGGGGGGGGGGGGGGTAGGACAACAAACCAAACACAAAAAGCAGTTCTAAAGAAATTAATTTTCAATCTAGATGATGATTTAAAAGTGCGTAGCTCCAGTGGCTTCCTAATATCGTAAGGAAGAGCATTCCAGACGGCTGTAGAAGCGCATCTGAAATCGCGTGAAGCGGTGACCGTCTTTGTTCAATGGTTATCCAAAATCCGCTGCGAGGATGACCGGAGCTTGCGTGACGGTTTATGCTCCTTGACGAGATCAGCAAGGTATTGTGGTTCATTTGTGGCAAGCACTTTGTGTGTAATGGGCGCGATCTTATATCGTATTCATTCAGCAACCGTAAAAACGACAGTTACGAGCATAATACTCAATTATGGTTGGCACGGCAGTGAGCGCACTGTGCAATGACCCAACTGTTTTCGTTGGCTGTACGTCAAAATATTCCTTTGGAGGGACAGAAATGAGTTTTTGTTGCTGGGCAAAAATAATGTAATCTAAATATTTGTAAGCACATGAATAATTATTTTGACGTTTGTGCATTCAGACCTGAAAATGACAGAGAGGGCAACGGTTGGGTTGTCACTAGCGGAGCGGGCGGTGGAGTGACGTGCCCGTCAGACCAACACGCGCTCTGCTAGAGGATGAACTTCTGCTCTTCCGTTTAGTTTTTTTGTACTTATGTATCTGAATAAATTCAACCGTACGTGGTCACCGATTGCACCACTACCACTACGCGCTCTGCTGGAGGCGAACTTTCCGCTCTGCCATCATCAAGGCTGGCTTCGAGAGGTTTCACCTTACCAGGCCATGTTTGAATAACGCAAGTTGGTAAATTAGTTTTAGAGCGTCAGGTCCCGTGAGCCCTATCATTAAAGTCAAGTCGTCCCGTCTGTGTCAAGGCACGAGACAAAGAAATTGCCACTCGGAACACTCACAGCGAGCTGGTGCAAGACCGTGTTGTCAGAGAACGGTGCCAGAAGTTGACGTCGTGGAACTACTGCGCGTGGAACTACTGCGGCCGTCACCTGGGGTGCCACGGTGGTGAGATGTTAACTACCTCGCCTGGTATGCAGGAGGGCATGGGCTAGATCCCGACCCCGGCCCCTGTATATTTGGATTTTGTGTGTCATGCCTATCCCTGTGGTCGCGTGAAATTTTTCTTGGGGTCCCGCGTGGCCCCACGCCGGCTGTGTGCCCGTGGGTGGGTGGGGGGGGGCAGCTCACCCGATGACCGAGGGAAGCCGCGAGAGGAACTGGTTGAGGTCACCGTTGACCATGTACTCGGTGATCATGGACAAGGGGTCGTCCCGCATGCACACGCCCAGCAGCCGCACGATGTTGGGGTCCTTCAGCCGAGACATGATCTTGATCTCCTTGAGAAAGTCGTTCCTGGACGAGCGAGCGGCGGCAGCGAGGGAGAGAAAGGGTGAGAGAAGCACGCGCACGCGGTCAAGAGATGCGCGCGCCCTGATGACGACTTAAACTTGTAAGAGAATAACTCAGAGGTGTGAGGAGGAACCACAGACAAGCAGGAGGGCAGCCACGCAGCGAGCCGGCACCAACAATTACCCGAGCTCTGCCATCCTCTACATGTGAAGGTGTTAATAGCCAATGAATGAGGGCTTACATGTGGGAGGAAACCAGAGTGCACGGGGGAACCCCACGCGTGCGAGGGGGGGGAGGACACTCTATCCCGTACAGAACGGAACAGGTGGAGTTTGCATTTTTGCAGTCCTGAATTGTCCCGGCAAGCCAGGGTATATAACCTCAACGTCTACGGGAAGGGAGTTTCACAACCCTCGCTGCCTCCACAGTACTGGATTACAGGCCATGTGCGTAGCCACCACTGCCCCTGCACATGATACATCGGTGATGCCAGCCCAGACAGATGCCTCCTCCCTTAGTTTGTTTGAGCCAGGGATCTGCCCACCCTGGACACCTGAGTTCGATTCCCAGTCCATAGCTAACATCAGCGGAGAGCAATATCTGAACTGAACCTAGATCCGTCTGGCCTATGAAGAGTTTCACCGATTCCTCCATGTCCGTGTGTGTGCTTGCGCACGCGCGCGTGTCTGCGTGTGGACGTGCACTTGCATCTGCGCCCCCCGCACCTCGCATTCTTAGTGGCGTCCGCACGCAGCATCTTGACGGCCACGAGCACGGGCGCGCCCTTGGGGACGTCGAAGGTGAAGTCCTCCCCCACAAACTCCTGTAGCCCCACAGCCTCGCAGAGGTGAACCTGCGCTCACACACACACGGGGCCCCCCGTGTCAGGCCTTGCTTACTACTGGGGTGTGACACACACACACACGCGCGGGTATGGCCGGGGCGCCCCCCCCCTACACACACAGGGGTATGGCCGGACCATACGCGCACGGGCATGGCCGTAACCGCCACATACACGTGTGGTTATGGCCGACCCAAAAGACAAAGACACAAAGTATAGCCTTAACAGACTGTTGGGGCAAGTGCTGTTAGTGAGCACCTATGAAGGCCGGCACGGCATTCGAGGGGGTGGGTGGCCAGCACCACGCCCGACTGCCTTTACCTCTCCAGTGGGAATGTTTACATACCACACCAAATACTCATTTGAGGCCGAGTCGACCTAGGGGAGGCCCAGGACCAGTTCGGAAAACCATCACTGGTGTTGGCCATGAGCGGGAATCTAACTCGGGTGACCTGGGTGAGTGCCTATTTCCCAGCTGCTATGGGTGAGTACCTATAGCCCAGCTGCTATAGGTGAGTACCTATAGCCCAGCTGCTATAGGTGAGTACCTATAGCTCAGCTGCTATAGGTGAGTACCTATAGCTCAGCTGCTATAGGTGAGTACCTATAGCCCAGCTGCTATAGGTGAGTGCCTATAACCCTATAGCCCAGCTAAAGATGAGTGCCTATAGAGTGCCTATAGCCCAGCTGCTACAGGTGAGTGGCGACGCAAGTTTGGCTCGCGCGAGTAAGGAGCAGTGAGCGGTGAGTGGTGAGCGAGCCAGCCAGCGCACCTCTCCGAACTGTCCCTCGCCGAGCTTCTCGCGGAAGGAGAGGAGGCCGCGCGGGAACTCGCCGGCGCTGACGTCGCGCTGGCCCAGCACGTCGCTCGTGAGGCCCGGCACGGCGTACGTGTTGCTGCCCGTGACGCCCTGCAGGCTGACCACGTCGGCCTCGGCGTAGTGCGACACGCCGTCGTTGAAGCACTGGTGCGGCGTCGCCTTCGTGAGGTCGGGCTCCGCGTAATCGCCGCTGCACACTGAAAGGGGGACGCGAGCGCGTGTGTGCAGGGGGCAGTTGTTCGGGACCACCGCCTCGTGCTCACCAAGTGCTTAGGGTTTTTTTTACCGAATTCGAAAACGGTGGCTCTTCTTGTTATTATTATTATTTTTCTTGCCGATCCCTTGCCCGATACAATCCGCCAATTATTAGTGGGTGTATAAGTTGGCAATGTTTCGAGCAATGGCCATTCGTCATTGCTCGAAAGCTTGCCCTTTTACTTATATGTTTTATTTTAAGGTCACAATGTTATTTACGAATGTGTTGAGGTTTATTTGTTTATTGTGCCTGTGCACCCCTGCCAACGCACATGCAGCAGCTGCAGCTGCAGCGCCGAAAAGTTCCTTTTTATCCGTGGATGGATTTTTTCCTTTCTTTCAATAACCCACATTTTCTCGCCGGCAATAAGAGCGGATAAGTGGCGGCAAGTCGCCGCCACGATCCACGTCGCTGCGCCCATGGATAACCGCGCGGAAAAATATCGGGAACTATACTCCCATGCGCGCGTGCACACGCGGCAGGAAACTGGAGGCCGGCCAATAGTGGGACCCCCCTGACTGCGACGGTGTCTCGCGACGTCACGCTGGGCGAGCCGAGTGGACGGCGCGACGGGACGGCGCGGAGATCGGTTTACCGGCGTCCTCCGCGCTCTGCGTCAGCTCCGGGAGTTTGACCTTGCTGACCCCCGCCGTGGCCATGAGGCGGAGCGGCTCCTGCACTCGACACAGAGGGGAGCGGAAGTCGTAGCGGTTGGGATAGCGCGCTACGTATCCGGCAACCCGAATTCGATTCCCGTTCACGACCAACACCAGTGTCAATTATCTGAACCGGTCCTGGGCCTCCCCTAGGTCAACTCGGCCTCAAATGAGTACCTGCTGCGGTGTGTAAACATTACCACAATAAAGACAAAGGCGGGCAGGTGTTGTGTTGGCCACCCATGCCCTCGTGTGCCATGCCAGCCTTCATAGGTGCTTGCTAACAGTACTTGCCCCAACGGTCTGTTAAGGTTACATGGGGGATCTTATTTCGCACCACACGTAGCCAAACGGTGCTAGTCGGGAGGTGCGGGGGAAGGTGAAACAAACAAACACTCAGCGAACAAACGCCGTCAAAGGAAAACGGCAGGCACCCGAGCCTCGTGATCGCGCGCGAGCAAGCGAACGAGCCACTTTGCAACCAAGACACAATGACGGAGAGGTGCTGGGCTGAACAGGGCTCGCCGACGCTGCTGTCGTGAGACAAGCGAAAACAAGGACACGTCGTGAGAACAACCGATGGGAAACGGGAGAGACGGAATTAACGACGGAGTGGAGACACAGAAGCAGAGGGAGACGGCGGACGAGATGGCAACGGAGAGAGCTTGGAGGCAAACACTGGACAGAAGCAACTGAAATAGAAAGGAGCTATTAACTAAACTTTTTTATTTTACCGGGTAAGGCCCGCTGAGCTGTACAGGTCTTTTCAGAAGCGACCTGGCCACAAATGATAGCTCAACGAAGTGGCTTATCACGTGGAAATGTTTTGCAGGCAAATATTCGAAATACCCGTTGATTCGAAACGTGGATAGAAAACTCATTTCATTTCAACTGCTTTTTGTGTTTAGTTTGTTGTCCTTCCCCCAATAAGCACGGTTGGCTACGTACGTTGCGAAATAAGTTCAACACACATACATACAACACACTCATGGACGTCCTCCACGTTTCTAAATGTGGAGGGCAAAACCGGAGGACCCGGAGAAAAATCTACACGACCACAAGGAGATAGACAGGCAAAGTCCAAATATACAGGCGTCAGGGTCAGGATCGAACCCATGACCTCCTGCATACCAGGCGAGGTATTTAACATCTCGTCACCATGGCACACCTGGAACCAATGGGAGGAGCGGGGGGACAGCCCTTAACCCTAACCGCAAGAGGAACGACTTGGACCAGACTTTGCGCACAACAGCTACGCACCTGGTAGTCGGGATCTGCTGGGTAGATCCGCTCGTACATGGGGTTGGCGTGGAGAGTCCCCGTGACCTCCTGACCCCGTGACCCTGCGGCCTCTTGCCCCGATACGGCCACCCCGCTGTTGATGATGACCGTGTCCGACGGGAGGGATAGGCGCACGAGGAGGTCTTCCTCCACGATCCTCCGCGGGCCCTGCCACACGACAGCGCGGTCATGTGTCCGATGGGGGTCGCCACCTTTATACAAATCCGTCACGTGTCATGGGAAGAGGAATATCTCGCAAACACCGGAAGAGGTGGTAACTGCATTCAAATACGTCGCCTAGTGTGGTGTATTATTAAAGCTGACAAAAAGTAGAATGGTAGATTTCCTGGAATGGCACACACCTTGCGTGTGCGCCGCCCCCAGCACTGCCTCCACAGGATGAGTGCGATGATGGCGACGAGGAGGAGGATAATCACGACGAGGCAGCTGATGAGCACGGTGTGACTACCAGCCCCCGCCGTCTCCACCAGGCCTGCAGCCATAGTCACCGTCGCCGGCATCGTCAGCATCGTCATCACGTCGTTGTTGTATTCATATTAGGGCCTATGTGTTTTGTGACAGCTTCAATGAGTGCTTCGGATTTAGCCAACCGAATGCACATATGTACGTTGAACGTCTAAGGACGTGTAATCCTCAACTGACAACACCAGTAATTCAAATGGGCCATACGATGTGTCTTGAGCTTCTCTCGTACCGTAAGTAGCCAACTGTGCTAATCAGAGGTGCGGGGTAAGGACAAAGCCAGCCAGGAGAATTTTATATATTATTTTTACTTGTGATGTTGCGATATAGCGATGATTGCCTTCACCTGGTCACCATTGCCATGGCCCCAAGTACTTTGCTCATATCATCATGTAACTCTTGTGGATCAATGTTGATCATCATCATCAGCAGCAGCATCACATGACCACCATTATAACCCTCAAATAACAATGATCATAATTACCATTCCCATCATGATCGATATTACAACCATTATCATTCACCAACACAGTCACCAACAGCATAATAATAAGAATTATTGTCCAAGGAACTTGAAACACAGTGATGTAGTGACAACCGGAGCACCTGGAGGAAACCCACGCGTGCGAAGAGGAAAAACATTCTATCCCAGTGTTCTTCATTGCAAGGCCCCCTGACGTGCGGCCCCCGACAATACACAACACGTGAAAACAACCCCTTTGCAGGCGGTGTGGTGGCCCTCACACTGATGTCTTATCGGTGATAGTGCCCCCCCCCCCTCTGAAATTAGACATGGGTTTGTGCAATTATCCATCAACCCTCACTGCTGCTGCTGCTGCCTCCACAACAGCGCCGGGTTACAGCAGCCGCGTGCAGCATCGCCACCGCCGCCCGAGCGGCTGATTGACTCCCTCCCCCTCCTTACGTAAAGAGAGCGGCGGTTCCGTGCCGTCGCTGTGTGTGCGCGTGGCTGGGTGCGTACCCGTGCTGGGAGTGAGCTGGGTGTAGGGGGGCGTCGACACGTTCGTCGTTTCCCACCGGCGGGGCGTGGTGATGGCCGGCACCGTCGTGTTGTAAACCGCCGTGCCTGATGTGCACAAAGACAAAGATACCCCGTGTCGGGGGCAAGTGCTGTGAAGGCCGGCACGGGCCACACGAGCTGGGGGTGGTGTGGCCGGCACCATGCCCAGCTACCTTTGCCTCCCCAGCGTTGATGTACTCATCTAAGTCGACCTGGTGGAGGCCCAGATATTTGTGAGCTGGAATCAAACTCAGGTCGCCAGGCTCGTCGTGCTGAACGTTAACGACTGTATGCACAATAACAAGACACTCTCTCTCACATACCCACGTGCTCACTCTCAATCGATTCAAGTTCATTTCAGCTCTCTGCAAGTTATGCGGAGGTGCGTGTGTCGAAATAGAATTCCAACAGTTAAAGGCCACATCAAGGTCAAGAGGTCCACCACAGCCAGTACCAGAGCCGGCTATTGCTTCCGTCCTTCTGAATGACCTTTCAGCTGTGACAAGATCAACACAGTGACCTCTCTTGCAGTATCTCGCCCATCCCAGCTTTATCCATTCTCCTCTCGGTCTTGAACTCTGGTTCCCAACTAAACAATCGGCGACCGGCGCCTTATCACGGTGGCACTTTCTGAAGCAATCTTTCATCGTCTCGAATGTTTAGGAACGCAAAAACAATTAAGCAGAATAACGCCGGTACGTTTGAGACACAGCCTCCGAGCCTCGAACATATGTGCGACTCCTGCTTGGCCGCTCCAATTCACTTGGGAGCCAGCCGCCCACGCGTCGTTAAAGCAGGCGCCGACACATTCGGCAACGGTTGAGGGGGTTCGTTTTGCGGGTGGGAGAGGCAAGCAGCCACTGCCTCCCATGTGCCCTGTGTCTTGGCTGCAAAGTGGCCATGACCGCAAATTTGGCAACAACTCATCAGTTTCCACGCGCAGGGTTCTCCGAGCTCGGCTACTGAACTCGGCTGTCTGCGATGGAGAAGAGCAAGAGCAGGCAAAGGCATTCCTCTCCGACGTGCTCCTGGATCGTACCGCGCGTCCCTCGGCACAACGTCCGACGTTTGGCTCTACGAGCTGGGGAGCGTCACCAGGAGCTGAAGAATCTCCCCGCACGGAAAAGAAAAAGAAAGCCGAGGAGCCATCCGGAGCAACCGCCGAACCACTCGCGAAACGGCCGCGTTAAAGACGATCGCCGAGTCCGCCGCCCGCCCGCTCAAATCCCCTCCCATCAAGCTCGCCACCGCCGCGACGCACGCACCAGACTGAAAGGAGATCTCGCTGATGAGGAGCCACGTGTCGGCAAAGTAGAACTGGCAGCGGATGTGGCGGGCGGGCCGGTGGCCCAGCGGCACGGTGACGAAGCGGGCGCTCGGGTTGACGTGGTCCGTCACCGTGGTGACGCTCACATGGCCGGGCTCCCAGAGTGCGCCGGGGCGCCGGGCGAACGTGCAGGAGACGCGAGAGAAGATCTTGACGCCGTGGGAAAACATGTTGTTGCAGTGGATCTGCGCGTAAGGCCGGGGGCGGGGAGAGACGTCGATCGTTAGCTCGGTGGGGTGGGTGCAGCAATCGGTCGGTATGTGTACGTACGTATGTTGAACTTCTTTCGCACCGTACGTAAGAATCTAAGCGTCGCGAAATCAGACAGTCCGTGAAATGATCTATAAATGACTAATAAAATAAATAGGCCCAGACAATGTCTGTTTAGCATCTCCGACTCTCCACATAGAAAATTAAAACAACAGAAAGTATTTGTTACGCAATTCACCAGTCGCATGGCATTCTGGGAGTGCGTAATTTCAACAGCGTTGATTCAAGACAAGCAAAACCCTGGACCGTTTTTGACTCACAGTGTCTCGTCGGCAGAGTCAGGCTTGCTTGACTCAATGCTGGTGGACCTCTGACCTTATAGGCAATACCGCTAATTACCAGCGGGCAACAGAAATTCCCACTTGGGTTTGCTCTGCCTAAAATAATTTCCCGGGTATTAGAGAAGACAAATGTGGCTCGGACATGCATGGCGCTTGTCCCCACCACCTCACTCTAATACCGTGCAGGATTAAACAGGCGCTCCCTAACAGCACTTGAGCCAATGGTTTACGTTGTCCGAATGGGGGACGCTCAGCTGTTCAGACGCTCACCCAGAGGGGCGGCCGTTACGGTGGCTGCTCTGGAGACGAGGAAATCGACGAACAATGTTCGGTTGCCGCAGTTGATGATGGCATTAGTCGTGATTTGTTGCCGAACAGAGGGAAGCCACGCGAAGGATGTAAACTTCTAGCTGTTGCTCCCCATCAACCAACGTTGATCCACGTGCTGAAGAGGTTGCGTACCTTCATGGCGGTGAAGTTGCGCACGCTGTCGAACAAGAAGTCCATCTCCACGTAGTCCTCTGCGAGCGAGTCATTGCTCCAGCCCACGTAGTCGTAGCCTGGCCACACCTGTGGTGAAATCAAACTTGGTAATCCCCGACGCACGGTTTGCCCCTGCGTTTTAAAGGGAAAAAAATGTGTGGTCGCGTCGTAGAATCTGACATGTGTGCGTGTGCGCGTGTGTGCACGTGTGCGTGGGGAGCGGGAGTGTAGCGGTAGTGTGTGCTACGAACCCAGCGACCCGAGTTCGATTCCTCCTCACGGCTTACAAACATCGGTGATGCATATTTGAATCAGTCCTTAGCCTCCCCTAGGTCGACTCAGCTTTAATTGAGTACCTGTTGTGGTGTGCAAACATCACTGATGGGGAGAAAAAAGGTGGGCGAGCGTGGTGCTGGCCACCCACTGCGTATTGAGCCGTGTTGGCCTTCATAGGTGTTCACTAACAGCACTTGCCCCAACAGCCTATGTAGGCTACCTGCAGGGGATCTTTATCTTTGCCCTTTTTGTGGTAGAACTCCTCTCCACTGGTCGACATTCACCTTCGCGTTGTGAGAACAAGAAACTTCATGACCAAATCACCGTAGCGTTATCCCGCGAGTCGAGTAAGAAACAGTGCCCAAAGCAAGTGTCGGGCAGTGTTTATCTCTGTTGCACGTAAGTCGAACTCCTTTCGACACCGTGCGTAGCCAACCGTGCAATTGGCAAGTTGACATTTGCAACGTTATATGTTTATATGCTAAGCCCCTTTAAGCAGGGTATTTTGGGAATTGAAGGTAATTTTGGCCAACTCTTCGACGCCGAGCCAGACGTCTCGGAAGGGACGCGAGTTACCCATGCTTTACCCCGTGACCTGCTGACCGACTCACCGCGGGCGTCCCATTTACACTGCTGGATGGACAGAAGCGGTGATTTCAAACAAAAACTATTCAATTACCACGGCGGGGAGATCATGCGGGGAACCTCTGCTGACCAAACACACCGCTTGCGGCAGCATCCCGGCCGAAACTTCCCCGGCCCCTGATGCGGCACACTTACCTGGTACTCGTGGGACATGGAGAAATCGTCCAGACCCCACACACCGTCCGTCAGCTGCCCCAGGCCGTCGTACACCGCTCTGTGCGTGTAGGCGCACACACACACACACGCACAGACAAAGGTCCCCCCCGAGTCTTAGTCTCACGGACGAGTTTGGCAAAGCGCTGTTGGCGAGCACCTGTCGAGGCCAACATGGCCCCATTGTTGACGTGTGTGTGTGTCTGTTCACTTGTGGGGAGCGGTAGTGTAGCGGTTAGCATGCTGCGCTACGAACCCGGCGACACGAGCTCGATTCCTGCTCACGGCCATCACCTGTGACGATTAATAATTATCTGAACTGGTCCTGGGCCTCCCCTAGATAGACTTAGCATCAAATGAGTAACTGGTGCGATGTGTAAACATCGTCACTCGGGAGACAAAGGCGTGGTGTTGGCCACCCACACCCTCGTATGCCTTGCCGGCCTTCATAGGTGCTCGCTAACAGCACTTTCTCCAACAGTCTGTTCAGGCTACACGGGGGATCTTTGTATTCTTGCGAGCAAGGAGCAACGCTCACAACAACGAGCGAGGCGCCTGGCGGTTAAAATACAAGAAGTTGGCACAGTCATCTCAGGATGCCCATGAAATATAGACTAATGGCTCAATGGGCCCTTCCTGCTGTAAAGGGCCCAATCTAAAATCCGTCAACCGATGGCACCCTGGGTCTATCCCGTGACATCCTGTCTTCGACACATCATGTAGCCTCGGTGTGCACCTAGCCTGGCACAAGTGCCGCAGTGATATCACCGCCGCCAGCTGGCGAACGGCGGTTGTTGCGTTTGTTGTTTTAGCGAATGAGTGAACGAGCGGGCGAGCGTCTCACATGTTATCCGAGCTCCCGTCGTACGTCGAGTCATTGAGCGCGATGACACGAAGGTCGTTGGGCAACATGGAGTGTCCCACCGGTGCTCGATACGCGACGAGGCCATCTGTGATGAGAGCCAATGGGGGGGGGGGGGGGGTGACGGCACAGAGACACGGAATAGCACACAGGGTTCATTCAGAAGCCACGGAAGCGATACACTTTTAAATCATCTCGATTGAAAACTCATTTGTTTAGGACTGCTCTTTGTGTTTTGTTTCTTATCCTCCCCAATAACCTCCGATTAGCACGGTTGGCTGCGTATGGTGAGAAAGAAGTTCAGCGTACGTACATACACAAAGACACAGTAACGCGCGCACGCACACAGTGGGACAAACATACCCATTCAGCCTCGGTGTACGAAAGAGTGCATCTACTACGGCTGGAACGGCACACAAAGGAGTGGCGTGTGGCCAACAACCTGCCAAGCCACCCCATTACAGATGTTCACGCACTGCGCTTGGGAACTGCTTTAAGGCCGAGTGGACCTAGGAGAGGTTTCGAGCACCGCATGCAGCTGATGTGCATCAATGGTCATGGCTTTGGAAAACTGGACCAAGGCTGCTTGAGAAGATGCCCATTACATCAACATCACACAATAACACATTAACACGCCGTGGTCTGGCAGTCGGGCGCACCGATTCACAGCTGCAGACCACACGCTGCAATGTACGTCATTGAGGCCTAACGCACTGAGGCTCCCACATTGGAAAATGTCACCCACACCGTAACGCGTGGTATGGCTGCCCCCCCCCCCTTCCTCTCAGCGATCCGAAGGAGACCCTTGTCCCACAATGTTAGCCTGGTCTACACATTGTTGTGTCCTCATCGTAACGTTCCGATTCCTCGGGCCCTCGTTAAAAATGGCATCCGCCGCCCACATTCTGCCTCTTGAAGGCGGGAAACCCCCCCAAACCCCACCCCCCCCTCCACAAGCATTGTTCTGTGATTGGTTGAGATAGCCTGGCTCTAGGTAGCATGCAGTGTTAACGGAGGTAAGTGAGTATTTAACAATGTGCACGCTACCGCAGCTAAGAGCTGTGTATAAATGGGGGGGGGGGAGGGGGGTGGAGATATTACAATGGAAATATTGGTCCCCTATTGTGGGTGGGAATGAAGGGGGCACTGTATTGGTTCAGATTCGGGCTGCAACGATCCATTAATATAATTTGCTGCGATCATGATACTCGCGTGGATTCATGCCCGCGACAATCATCAAACCATCCAGACCATCTCAAGCCTCCCGTAAACCACGTGACTTCTGCGGTGGCCACCCCCACTCTGAATCCCTCCCCTCTCCCCACCCGACCCCTGTTGCTCCTCCGTGCAGCTCACTCCTGCTTGCTTCTTCCGTCTCTCTCCCTCTCATCATCATCACCCTCCTCTCATCCTTGGCATCTTGTCCCAGTCGTTCCTTCTTCCCCTCCTCCTCCCTGTCCTGCCCAGCGCTTCTTCTCTCTCCCTGCTGCTCATCTTGAGCCGTTGCCCTCTTTGTCCCTCTTGGGGACTTCTGTCCCAGCATCCCCACCCCCCTCAATCTGCCCTGTTGTGCAACCGACCCGACTCCCCTTCCCATGGCACGCCACGGGCAAAATTTTATCGAACGTACATGTGTGTGGGGGGGCAACGGTGCTCGCTAACAGCACTTGCCCCAACAGTTTGGTAAAAAAACCATGCGGGGGATCTTTGTCTCTGTGTGTGGGGCAATGCTGACCCAGCCACTGGCAGCCGTACAGCTCGACGCGCATGCACACGCTCATGAGGCGGTCGGCCACGGGCACGAAGCGGATGATGCGCGCGATGATTGGCGGGCTCAGGTCCTTGAGCACCAGCTCATAGGTGTTCACGTTTCCCTCGATGACCTGCACACACACACACACAAAGACAAAGATCCCCCGTCTCGCCTATTAATGCTTCCGGCAGGAAACACGATGAGGTTTGCGCGGCGAGCACAACACCCAGCCAACCGCTTTGTGTAAAGGCAACAAGAGGTCTTCCTACAGATATGCATCACCCTATTTAACTATTTTTTATGTTACCAGATAAGGCCCACTGAGCTATGTAGCTCTTTTTCAGAAGTGACCTGGCCACAAATGATAGCTCAACAAAGTGGCTTATCACGTGGACATTTATAGCGGCCAAAAATTCTAAAACGCACATTTGTAAATGTGGAGGGAAAAACCGGAGGGGCCCGGAGAAAAACCACACGACCACATTGGAGAGAAAGAGACACGGTAAAGTCCAAATATAAAGCAGGCGTCAGGGTCGGGATCGAACCCTCGACCTCCTGCATATCAGGCGAGGAAGTTAACATCTCGCCACCCGCTACGGCCCTTCTCCAGCGTGTGCGCAGGTCTGGCGACGAGTCCTGGCACGCACAATGTGCCCGGGGAGGGGCTCCGCGCGGGGCCGCCAGCACCCGGCCCCCCCCACCACCTGCGGAGACGCGCGCCGCCCGCCACGCGACCAACGGCGATGCCAGCACGGCCCTGGCTCCCTGCCACGGTGAGTCTCGCGTGGGCGTTGTGTTTTGGGTGGCGCGGCGGTGCTACTGGTTGCGTTCGTCGGCCTCACGAGCAAGATAGCCATGGGTTTTGGATCCCAGATTCGCGGTCGAGTTTGTGTGTTCTCTTCCCCACTGTTGTGCATGGGTTTCCTCCGGGTTCTCCAGTTTCCTCCCATACAAAAAAAAAGTGAAATGTAACTGGTGTTGGCCAACTGTCCAACAATGATAACGAAAATTGCCGGTAAATTATTTGCATTGGGGTTACATCTAGCAACATCGCCCTCAACTGTAAAAAAATTAATTGGCAGGACCCTCCGTGAAAAGAGGTTTGAGACTCGGAATTTCGTGGGTAACTCAAGCTTACATTAAACAAATACATCAGATGGTTTGCCAGACTCAGACTCGGAACTCACGGCGAGCGGAGTGTGGAGGAGGGGGCAGTGTTCTGAGCTGACTGGGCTACAGCTGGCTGGGGAGTTGGGCAGGTGGAGTGTGATTGGAGCCGTGAGCAGTAGCATTCGGCAGGGCGGCCACTGATCAAGCCAGCATTGGTGTGGCGCTCATTTCCACTGATAGCTCTGGCCATGGCTGAGATGCGTTTCACTCGCCCGTGATTTTTAACACGAAATAATTTTTATATTTCTAAAAAAGAGGATATGGCCCAATATCCCCAATGCAGAACCCACCTGATTAAAATGAGTCTTGAGACCTTCCCCGAGATAATAATGCAATGATTTTATGAAATCCCTGAGCTGTGTGGTTTGAGGGGCTGATACCATGCCAGAGTTTACTAAGTTGCCACCCCTAAAATCCTGAGTTTGAATCCAGGTTTCAGCCATCCCTGATTAAATTTGGCTCCCAAGTCTCGCGAGCTGGTGGACTCAGCCCAGTGTCCAATTGGCTGCAGACGAAAAAAAGACATCACATTAAATTCGGTTTTGCACTTTGGCTAAATCCAGCTGTGAGAATTAAACATCTTGGTTTGACTGTCATGCCATGAACATTACTCCCTGTGGCAGAGTGGATATGACGTCACTTGCTCGGGATTTCAAGGGTTGCTCTGTCGCATCCACTTCTGTGGGCCGTTCTCGAAAATAAAATGGCTGCACTGCTCTGTAGTAGGAGTGTGTGGAATGTTCCTGTCCTCGAATGTGCGCACAAGGTCACCTGAAGGGGATCTCAGAAGTAGTTCTATATCTGCTTCTGTGGGACATTCTCTAAAGCGGCGGCTTTTACTGCTCCGCGGGAGTTCGGAATGGATTATTTTATTCATCTCGTGACACAACATTGACAACACAATTGGGATAAACTTGTGGAGAAACACAAAAGTTTGAGAGAAAAACGAGGCTGTAAAGGGTTAGGCCATTGTGACTAGGTTAATAATGATTCACATCCCCCATGAAGATTCGATGGATTGCTACGATCGATTCTGCATCATGATTTGATTCAACAACGATTATTTTTTTATATCCCTGCAATGATTGAATCGTAGCAGTGCGCTAACCGCTACACTGCTTCTCCACACTTACGCATGCACGCACAGACATATATATATACACATCGTTGTCTGTTTTAAGACCGGGGACAATGACACAGGTGGCGAGATCATTTGTCGTTTGAACGGACTGCATTCGTAGATGCTGTTCCGTACACGTGGCGTTGGAAAACAGAACACCACGGAGATTGCGGGTTCCAGTCCAGCTTTCCGTCACCTTCGATTCAAGTCTATGAATCCATGGTTGTAAAGCCCTGCGGGAGTTTGACGTTCCCAGCCCGGCCGCCATCGGCCTGCGTAACGAATGCATAATACATCCTATTTGGTTTGTCACTCGACACGGCCGTGGCTTCATTCCAGCCCCGAGGATTGAAATGTCAGATCAACTGCCGCAGCGCAACAGCTCACTGCGCGCACTTCGCGATGCCCTTGAGAAGGGCACTGCTCCGATTAGCGCCGTTTGTCTACATACGGTGCGAAAGAAGTTCAACGTTACGCGTACAGACATTGCTCATGGTAGGAACAGTGGTCCTGTGGATGCCGGCAGCATTGACCAATAAACGGTCCCGGGGCGTTTGAAAGTTGAGCCGCCTTCGTGTCTATAAATAAGCTATTGAGGGGCCTTAAGAGGCATTTCTGTCGACAGCATTTCTGCGGTAAATTTCTAAACAGGAGGCAACATTGCATTACTCACTGCAAACCTACAGAGCAAGCGACAAGCAACAGGGTATGTTGGGTTTTTTTTTTAAAAGAACGATTTTCCAAATGTCATGGACAGACAAGGGACGAGTTAAAAGAAATGTATTACGGACAGCAGCAGGTACAGGAGGAAAATGTCGAGAAAGGCAGGGTGAGATTTTGGACATTTAATGAGGGGCTTTACAACCCCGGTTTCTTAGATTTCCTGGACATGTAATCGCACCTCCGATTAGCACGGGTTGGCTACGTACGGAGCGAAAGAAGTTCAAGATACATACAAGAAAACAACAGACTGAATATGAATGTGGCTTTGTCTGAGCAACACGAAGCTGGGGAAGGCAGTGAATTAAGTTCGACGAGCAATTTGAACAATTGGATGCAACCGGGAGTAAATATCACGAGCAGAGCTACGGAGATGGTGTATTTTTATTGATGAAACCCGACTTAAGAACTGAAACTACACGGAAGGAAGACGATGATCGCCGATGTCTTTGAGAAGGTACACGGCGCACACGTAGAGAGAGCGAGAGATACTCGTTGCGAAAGTTCTGCAGACGATTTCCCTTCAGATCGTAACAGCAATCGCACACGATAGCCACGATCTAAAAGAAAACAACGTGAATGGAATTGGAACAAATGCGCCATTGCAGCAGGAACCCTCCCCTGCGCAGGGGCCTAGAGGAGGCTTTCCTAGATGTTGAATCGTGTGTTTGAGCACTGGTCATTGCAGGTTTCCGCAAGCGATATAATTTGCATTTTTGCCTAATGGCGTGAACGAAACTGTACAAATGAGCCAAAAACAACCATAAACAATACAAACGGGACGATGAAAGCGAGACACAAAAAAGAAATCCATAATCAGTACTGAATTCGTGACCCCCCCCCCCCCGAATCACGACAATCAAATTCATCGCTAAATGCGGCGGTGAATCGTTGATTTGTCTCATCACGAAGATGATGATGACGGCAATGGTTGATACACACCTCCTCGCCGCGCCGGTCGTGCCACATGACCCAGCGAGAGCCGTCCCGCGAGTACTCGAGCCGGTAAGCGGTTGCGTACTCATTCCCCGTGCCTTCCGCGTGCCGGCCTGGAGCAAACACACACAAGGACAAAGATCCCCCGTGTAGCCTTGACAGACTGTTGGGGCAAGTGCTGTTAGCGAGCATCTATGAAGGCCGGCTAGTCTGTCAGGAGGGGGGAGGCGATGATTTCTATGCGTAATGGCGAATGAGTCAAACACACAGACACAGATCCCATATATAGCCTTAACACTGTTGGGGTAAGTGCTGTTAGCGAGCACCTATGAAGGCCAGTACGGTACACGAGGGGGTGGTGGCCAGCACCACGCCCAATCGCCTTTGTCTCCCCAGTGGCGATGTTTACACACTGTACCAGGTACTCATTTGAGGCTGAGTCGACATAGGGGAGGCCCAGGATCGGTTCAGATAATCGTTACTGGTGTTGGACGTGAGCGGGAATCCAACGCAGGTCACCGGGATTCAAGCGCAGTGCGCTAACCACTACACTACCACTCCCCACGCACACACACATGCATATACACAAACGCACACAAGCATCCACGCAGGCACGCAGAAACATGTGCACACCCACACATGCACCACAGTTGTAAAAAAATCCACATTCATATAGGAGTGACAAGTTCATCTCAAAATACCACAAGAATGACCAATGTTGCAATGCAAACAAGAGAGTTTGTCTACCTTCCTGAGTCTGAAGACACATTTTTTTTCAAGAGGGTCCTGCTTCTGCTAAATTCACGAGTAACTTTTTTTTTGCATCAACGGTCAGGATAGCAGAATCCCCGGCATTAACGCACCCCCCCAATACGAGGTCACAGCACTAGACGTGCACGCAGATGGCTTGTCACCAGACCTACTGTCTGCGCTACCTCCTACGGGCACCGTCGTTGCTGAACTTCCCACGGAGCCATGCAGCGAGTAGTCAGCGGCCCTTTCGGTGGCTTTGGCATGTTATGGCACTCTGGAGGGTAACACTATTTTGGCGGTTGTTGTTATTGTCGTCATCATTCGATCGTGATAAATTTTAACCCCCTAGGACGAGGGATCAACAACCTCGTGTGATACTTCGAGCTGTGCTCTGCCAAGCTGGACATCTGTCGAGAATTAATAAACAGCAACAGGCTATGGGCATTGTACAATTGTGTTAAGGTGGCCTATTTAAGAAGAATGCTGCTCCCTGCAATGCCGATGTCATATAAGGCTGTTGTTAAGCCTCATTCATATAAGGCTGTCAAATTCCTCAACAGGTTTATAGTTCCGTCCGAAATCTCGCCATCTACGGGTGCACTTTTTTATTCGCCTAATTAGGGATCCATCTTCATTTCTTCATTTGGGCAAGAATCAGCACGCAGAGTTCTGGGGGGGGGGGTGGGTGGGGGGGGCGTTACTTCTTTCAATAGCGCCACCAGCTCGGCCTGGTGACACGAGCAAGGACACTGCTGAGCTCAGGATCAGAATTTTTATTTATACTGGAGGAATTCCATGAGCTATAAAGCTCTTTTTACGGGTAATTAAACTTTGTTTGAATATATATTGCACTATGCATGCTAATAGCATCCCATAACGCTGTACATTCCTTATATGTAAGGACCAAATTTCGATTTAAAGCTTTCGTGACTGCAGGGATTCATCTTCTTGTTTCTTTCGGTAAAGTCACGTAGAAGGGAAGTAATAAAATAATAAAAATAAAACATAATAAAACAATTCTCACGACGTTTCGGCTACAACGCAAGCAGCCGTCTTCAGGTGAAGAATGAGACACTACCAAACTAGGAGCTTATATATAAGCTGCATTGGGGGTTGAAGAGCGCCTTAACAAAAAGAATGTGCATGTGAAGAGGGATTTAGCATATTCATGGAAAATGCGTAGGCGTTGGGCGGGGGGGTGTCAAAGTCATATTATGCCCATGCATTATGCAGGATCAGCAGCAACCAAGGGGGGTGCAGGGATTAGCAGTAACAAAGGAAAGGAATGTTAATGATATGTAGCTGCAGTTACTCAACAACCACGTAGAAAACTAAAGTATAAACTACATAAAAAACTAAAGTATAAACTGCATCGCACCATCAGTATACTTACTATACTCTATAATAAGCTGAGTTACTAACAGCAAGTAATACATTACAATTTTACCTCGTAAAAATTCTATAATATGCTTCCATCTAAACCTTATTCTCTTACATCACACGAGCATATACCGTACTATATACTGCCATAGATAAACCCAACATTAAATGATATACTGTATTGCTGTAAACCAACCTATATCTTATACATTTAATATCACACTATGTATTATTCTACACACCCTAATGTGTATCGAAATGGTTTATTACGTCCTTCCAATGATTGCTGAGCCAGAATCCATCTTCTCGGTTAAAGTTGTCTCTGTGTTTGTATATGTGGATCGCCTCATGAACGAATCTCTCATGATAGCCAGATGGCTTGCAGAGAACCTCTGTCTTGGAGAAGTCAATATCATGTGAGCCCACTGAGTTGTAACAGTGATCTGCCACGGCTGAGGTGTTAGTCCTACCGTGTTTCAGGTCAGCTTTATGTTCACGGATGCGGTCCGAGACATGTCGTTTGGTTTCCCCAATGTAACTGCTACCACAGAGGCAACTTAGTTTGTAGACGCCAGGGTACTGTATGTCTGGAACCACATCTTTTACAGACGGTACCAGATCACGGATTTTATGTACTGTGTTGAATCGGACCTGGATCTTGTGTTTAATCAGGATTTTGGAGATCTTTTTTGTGACCCCAGCAATGTAGGGTAAGGTGATGGTCTTGAAAGGCTCCTCAACAGGATCCTTCTTGATGGTTGGAGTGATGGCTTTGCTGATTGTATAGTCGGAGTAACCATTTGCCTTAAGAGCTTGGCGTACGTGTTTGAGTTCACTGGAAATGTGTTCATGGTCGGAGATGCATTGGGCTCTATGATATAGAGTCTTGATGAGGGAATTCTTCTGAGATGGATGGTGGTGGGAATCCGGTTTTAGATAAGCATCCGTGTGGGTGGCTTTCCTGTAGACAGAGTGGCTCATTGAACCATCAGGTCTCCTTTTGATTAGGACATCCAAAAAGGGTAGCTTGCCATCATTTTCGACTTCCATGGTGAATCTGATGGCTGGGTGTATGGAATTGATGTGGTCGAGAAATTGGTCTAGAGCAGGCCGGCCATGTGGCCAGATGACAAAAGTGTCGTCTACGTACCTCTTCCATAAGGTCGGGCGTAGAGTGGCAGTCTGGATGGCGTCCGTCTCAAATTTCAGCAAAGAGGAGCGTTTTGAATTAGCTCAATTAAAAAAGAGGGATGACATTGTCATCCTCTCAGCCGACAAAGGCAATGCCACTGTCATCATGGACAAAACAGAATACAACAACAAAATTCAAGAACTACTAAACGATGGCAGCTATACAAAAATAAAAAGAGACCCCACCAACAGCCTCGTCTCCAAAACCAACAACATCATTTCTGCTTCAACCGCATTAATTGATCAGACCAAACAGTTCTCGTTGAAACCTTCTGCAGCCAGACCACCAAGATTGTACGGCTTGCCAAAGATACATAAAGAAGATACACCTCTTCGTCCCATTGTCTCTACTATCAACTCCCCCACTTACAAACTGGCTCGTTTTTTGTCCGAAATCCTACGGCCTTTCACTGGAAAAACCACCTCTGCAGTACTAAACTCTACTGACCTGGTATCGACAATCAAGGGGATTGCCCTGTCCCCAGACGACCTGCTTGTCAGTTTTGATGTGGTTTCCTTGTTCACCAAGGTACCTGTGCCTGACACCATCGCAATCATTGAAGACTTGGTTCATCAAGGACTGAATGCTGGGGTACCCCCCCTGGTGAGACACTGCTTAACCAATACATACTTCACCTGGAATGGAACCTTCTACAAGCAAATTGAGGGCACCCCAATGGGCTCCCCCCTATCTCCGGTTGTAGCCAACATCTTCATGGAGAAATTTGAGACGGACGCCATCCAGACTGCCACTCTACGCCCGACCTTATGGAAGAGGTACGTAGACGACACTTTTGTCATCTGGCCACATGGCCGGCCTGCTCTAGACCAATTTCTCGACCACATCAATTCCATACACCCAGCCATCAGATTCACCATGGAAGTCGAAAATGATGGCAAGCTACCCTTTTTGGATGTCCTAATCAAAAGGAGACCTGATGGTTCAATGAGCCACTCTGTCTACAGGAAAGCCACCCACACGGATGCTTATCTAAAACCGGATTCCCACCACCATCCATCTCAGAAGAATTCCCTCATCAAGACTCTATATCATAGAGCCCAATGCATCTCCGACCATGAACACATTTCCAGTGAACTCAAACACGTACGCCAAGCTCTTAAGGCAAATGGTTACTCCGACTATACAATCAGCAAAGCCATCACTCCAACCATCAAGAAGGATCCTGTTGAGGAGCCTTTCAAGACCATCACCTTACCCTACATTGCTGGGGTCACAAAAAAGATCTCCAAAATCCTGATTAAACACAAGATCCAGGTCCGATTCAACACAGTACATAAAATCCGTGATCTGGTACCGTCTGTAAAAGATGTGGTTCCAGACATACAGTACCCTGGCGTCTACAAACTAAGTTGCCTCTGTGGTAGCAGTTACATTGGGGAAACCAAACGACATGTCTCGGACCGCATCCGTGAACATAAAGCTGACCTGAAACACGGTAGGACTAACACCTCAGCCGTGGCAGATCACTGTTACAACTCAGTGGGCTCACATGATATTGACTTCTCCAAGACAGAGGTTCTCTGCAAGCCATCTGGGTATCATGAGAGATTCGTTCATGAGGCGATCCACATATACAAACACAGAGACAACTTTAACCGAGAAGATGGATTCTGGCTCAGCAATCATTGGAAGGACGTAATAAACCATTTCGATACACATTAGGGTGTGTAGAATAATACATAGTGTGATATTAAATGTATAAGATATAGGTTGGTTTACAGCAATACAGTATATAATTTAATGTTGGGTTTATCTATGGCAGTATATAGTACGGTATATGCTCGTGTGATGTAAGAGAATAAGGTTTAGATGGAAGCATATTATAGAATTTTTACGAGGTAAAATTGTAATGTATTACTTGCTGTTAGTAACTCAGCTTATTATAGAGTATAGTAAGTATACTGATGGTGCGATGCAGTTTATACTTTAGTTTTTTATGTAGTTTATACTTTAGTTTTCTACGTGGTTGTTGAGTAACTGCAGCTACATATCATTAACATTCCTTTCCTTTGTTACTGCTAATCCCTGCACCCCCCTTGGTTGCTGCTGATCCTGCATAATGCATGGGCATAATATGACTTTGACACCCCCCCGCCCAACGCCTACGCATTTTCCATGAATATGCTAAATCCCTCTTCACATGCACATTCTTTTTGTTAAGGCGCTCTTCAACCCCCAATGCAGCTTATATATAAGCTCCTAGATTGGTAGTGTCTCATTCTTCACCTGAAGACGGCTGCTTGCGTTGTAGCCGAAACGTCGTGAGAATTGTTTTATTATGTTTTATTTTTATTATTTTATTACTTCCCTTCTACGTGACTTTACCGAAAGAAACAAGAAGATGTAAGGACCAATTGCCATGTACAGCCACTACTACCAAGTAAATGAAAGCCCCTACTACACCAAGCAAAATCAAAAATGAATAAACAAATTATGAAATGGCACCAAAACAAAAAGCACAAATAACCAAAAAGTGATCACAACAGAGAGATGATTCCACAAGGTCTACACACTCCAGACCACAATCCCAAGTCCCCTACCAAGCCAGGAAACCTGCACAGGAGTGACGCTGGTGGAGTGCCAGATGTCCAGTTCGAGCTAGAGGAAGCCGGACAAGATCCGTATCCCCTGGTGGTCCACATTCAGCGGGGTAACAACTGCTCACCGCACCGCACACCCTTGATCTCACACTCGCATTGAGTCTTTGTTGCCCGCAAGTAGCGGTTTATGTTGAAAGCCTTCCCCTCGCAAGAAGGGCCACTGACCAAAGCACTGAATTTTAATTCCATTCGATCTCAGAAAAAAAACCCTCCGCCAGTTATCTCAGCCATTTAGTTTCGTCCGTAACTTCTGGGCGCCCCGTGGCATCGGGCTTACGAGGCAATATCCTCCCGATGCCAAATACTCTGGGGGAATTTCTAAACTTTGGCCCGGTTTCAAATTCATCGAGTCTCACCAGCAGGCGACTGCTTTATAAACACCAATGCCACCGGGTGCCCTGGATGTTAGGGGGGACAAAATACACTGGCTAAACGAACTTATAAAAGAGCTTTCATCTCGTAGGCCAAAACTAATTCACTTTTGAATCCGTCGGTCAGCGATCCTTCTTCCGGCGAGCGAGCGAGTGAACAGACGCGAGGTTTTTATTTCTGTTTTGGGGGGGGGGGGGGGGCCCAGTCACCTTGCGTGCCGACGAGCGTGATGAAGTGCAGCTCGCGCAGGTCGACCTGCAGGAACTCCATGCTCTGGGGGCTGATGGAGCCCAGAGGGCACCAGGCCCCGTCGCCCTCCTCCGAGTCGAGCCTAGGTCACGGTCGGCGTCCAAAACAAACAACGGCCCGTTAATTTACCCAGGGAAGCCTAGCGTGAGGGAGTCCTAAGATTCTTTGTTTTGTTTCTTGTTGTTGTTTCAATTCGTACAGTGTTTATAATAAAGGTCTTTGGGTCAGATCGCGTTATTTATAAATGTGTCGCAACCCTCCACCACCCGAGATGGCCAATCAGTAAAAAATGTGTCACATTGAAGAGTGAATCCACAACATTTACAATTTTTGGGTACGACGTTTCGCTGGCAATTACCACAATGTTTCGCTGGTCCTACTCAAAATTTGTAAATGTTGTGGATTCACTCTTCTGGGCTAAAGTAGTGAACTATTTGTCTTTTGTCAACGTGACACATTTTTTACTGATTGGCAGTGTCGGGTGGTGGAGGGTTGCGACACATTTATAAATAAAGCGATCTAAAACCAAAAACCTTTATGATGAATAATATTGGTCGTGAAAGCCTCCGTGTCGTACAGTGTTTGTTTACTGCCGTCAGCTCAAATGTAATACGTATTGTTGGCATACTATTTGCACACGTTTTCGAATCATCATTTCTCATGCACACGATTCGGTGCATGTATCGCGAGTATAAGAATCAGTTGTAATCAATTAATCGATGCATTATTCAAAACCTTATGATATTTATTCAGCCCTCGCTGAGACTCATAGACTCATTCTCAGGACAGTTATGAATTGGGGTGTCTGACCAATTAAATTCGTGAGTCGTTGGCACGATGAAATCGGGAGTATCCAGGGAAACCCACGCGTACGTGCCAATTACGCTCAAAGTGCCACACAGATAGATTCAGTCGACAGACCGGTACCCAATTAACTTTAATAATATTTTTACTTTCACCCATTGTTGTACCGCCATCTCCTGGCCACCTTGCCGACCCAACCATATAATGCCTGGAAGGCACTGTTCGTCACCTATCCAAAGGTTTAACTAGGATCAACTCAGCTTAGCTTCTGAGATCTGATGAGACTTGATGCGTTCCGAATGATTTGTTGTCCTTCCCCCTACTGCATACCTCGAAATGTTCCAATCAAGGTCGGAGGTCAGTTTGGTCAATCATCATGACCACCATCATCATCATCATCCCTTAGGGATTGATCGAGTATCACTCAGTGCCAGGTTTCGATAAGACTGGCTCCAGCCGTAGGCATCTGGAATTTAAAACCTACAATCTCAGGGCAGCCAATGGAGATGGGCGATGGCCCCATCGCTAAATTGGACAGTCTCCCGGAACGGCCAGAAGCATTGCACGGCCGAGTGCTGGCTTGTTTGGACACTCGAGTTGGCACAGGCTGTGTTCCCCATCTGTTTCTTTTCCCACAGCGGCCGAGTCCAAGAAAATGGCTGGGGGTGGGGGTTGGCCGAGGGGGGGGCGGTTATGGGGATACACGCACAGAAAACAAAACCCCCTTCCCCAAATCTCAGCGGATTTAGAAAAAAAAGCAATAAAGGCGGCGGGGAGGGAGGGGGATAGGAATCTCTCTCTTTTTTGCCTGGCAAGACGGTTGCCAAGGCAGATAAAGTGAATATTCCACACATGTGGACAGCTGTGCAGACTCCAGACTGGCCACAGTGTTGCAGTAAGTATCCACGCGTCTCCTCGATGAGGACGATGATGTTGACGATGGTGTTTATGATGACGGAGACGGCGGCGGTGATACTGCAATACCAATTGTGATTATATTTTTGTTCCCCCCCCCGTCCGCCAATGTTGTTCTAATTGTGCAATTGAGGTCATGTCACCCAACAAATCAATTTCCAGTTGGCAATGTCACATGACGTCGCACACCGGCCCTCCCGAAAGAGCCGCTTCTCCTTCTGCAGTTGCTTCGATTGGTCGTTGAGGTTTTACCACAGAATGCCCAAAAACGTCACGGCATTATCAGAGTTGTAAAAGGTAAAGAGCGTGGGACACACGTTTCTTGAATTGGCGGATCACTCAAATGTTGCGAAACTTCCTTCCCGTGGGTGTCGAGGTGTCATACCCTGGGCTTGCCAGAAAAATTCAGGACAGCAAAAATGTGCACTCCACTTGTTCCATCTGTGTGGGACAGAGCATTTCCCCCTCGCACGCGTGGGCTTCTCCAGGTGCCGTGGTTTCCTCCCACATCTAAATGCTCGTTAATCGGCCGTTAACGCTTTAGTATACATTGAGGATCGCAGAGCTTGGGCAATTCTTGGTGTGGCCGCCTTCCCGCTTGTCCGCGGTTCCTCCTCGCACCTCTCGAGTTGAATGCTGTGCGACGTGTTACGGGCTGAGATCACGATTGTCAGGAGGCGATTGACCGCCGGGTGAAGGCAGTGACCGGGAGCAAACCGGCGAGTGCTGAATCGCCAACCAATGCGAATTCTCCACTTTTAATTCCATCGAGTGCAGGCAGGCAGAGGAACCAGCCGGGTTGCTCCACCCACCCCCGAGATTAGACGACGGTGTTTCTATTCTACTCTATTTCGGATTTATACAGCGCCCTTGCCAACTCCCATCAGATTTGTGGCCTATTTTTTCACACTAGGTGGCACCATTCGTATACACCTTCAACCGAGTGGTTTATTTTTTTCGTAAGGTAAGAAAACGGTTAAAACTGTGCGCTACTCGTATGGAAAATTAAGCGATCAACCGAACCCACCATGTTTCATTTTAGTACAGTCGTTGGTGACACAAATCACTACAACTGAGAACCCAGTTTTATCACTGGTGGCCGAAACCCAGATTCCGAAATGGTGGGAACATCAACCATGACACACGAACCATGGTGATTTTACCACCGGTTAGTGGCAGCCGATGTTGTTGCGCCCATAGGTGTGTATACGAGTAAGTGTGTAGGTGTGTGAGTTAGCATGGAGTGATGTGGTACAAGAGGGTGTGGAGCTGAGTGGACTTGCTGATGACTGGGACCAGCGGTGTCAAGATCGGCTTCTGTGGAGGAGGCTTGTGAAGGACGCTACTGGGCAGTTGGAGCCAGTCGCCCTCCAGTAACACCGGAGGGCAGAGGAGCGACGCTCACAACAACGAGCTGAGTGCCGGGCGGCTAAAACACAGCAAGTTGGCACAGTACGGGCACAGAGGGTGCATCAGTCAGTCATCTCAGTCAGTCAAACAATGACACCTGGGTCTGTCCCGTGACCTCCTGCCAGCGGGCGTTCGACACTTCAACGTGGCCTTAAAGTGCACTTAGCCCGGCACAGGTGCCGCAGTGACGTTACCGCCACGTCGTGGCGAATGGCGATTGTTGTTATTGTTGTTAAGATAGCACGAATGTGTGACGAGGGTGTGCTGCAACGTGGGTGTGCTGCGTGCAGGCAGCGTGTGTGAGCGCGTGTCGCGGTGGCGCGGCAGGCGGTGCCAATGCGTTAAGTCACCTGGCGTAGTGAGCAGCAGTGGTCTCGTACCACTGGCTGCTGGCTGTGATGTCTTCATCGGGGATTCGCCCTTCCTGCATGCCCAGCGCGTACCTGCATAAGCCTGGGGTTGGTGGACCGCAAAGGGATGGGAACGGAGAGCGAAAGGCGGTATTTGTTATTGATCAAGGTGGGGGTGGAGAATAGGTTCAGCTTGCACTGCGCCTTAAATCGGCTACACAGAATAAAAAAAAAGTGAACTTCTTTCGCACCATACGTAGACAACTGGAGGTTGCCCTTGTTATTATTACCTGCTACCGCCAACGTAACAGCAATTTCAAGAGTACTTAATGGGAACCAGAACAGATTGTTGTGCGACCAAGTGTTGTTTACTGTGGTAAAAGTACGAATCGCAGGAAATGAATACAATTATTGGAGGAAGTGATTGAAGGGCCTAATAAAGCAGGCGGCAATGGTGGTCTTCCACATGAATAGGAGACAGAAAAACAAACGCCATGCACAACAAGTTTTCGAAGAAAAAAATCTGGAAGCATTGTTGGGAGGAATGCGACTGGAAACCACAGCAGATCAGGATGTTGACGATGAAATAGGCAACGACTGATTGCGAGGGGGAATTGTTTGGAAGAATTCCCTTAATCATGAAAAGCAACCAAGATACATCATCTTCTTGGTTCTTTCGGTAAAGTCACGTAGAAGGGAAGTAATCAAATAATAAAAATAAAACATAATAAAACAATTCTCACGACGTTTCGGCCACAACGCAAGCAGCCGTCCTCAGGTGAAAACCGTTTACAATAGCTTGGCACAGATGCACGCCCGTTCCACAATCATAGGGCGCTGATGGGTGTCGATTGAACTTGGCGTGTGTACGTAGGCCGAACTTATTTCGCGCCGTACGTAGCCGACCCTGTGAATTGGACGTGCGGAGATGACGGAGATCATGGAGGTGGTGAGGACGTGCTGATGGGTCTGGGGCGTGCGCCACTAGTGGGGGGGAGCTTGCAGTGGTCGGCCAGGGATGAGGAGAGACACAGCGAGCCCTCAAAGTGAATCATTACCGCTGGATCTCAACGCCGCTTCCCCACTCAAGGGCGATTTCGCGGCTCAAACGATCACAGAGGCAGCGCTCATCTCCGGTCCACAGCCATGAGCCAATGGCGCAAATTACGCAATTCCTATGGCAGGCGCGAGTCTGTCCATGGGGCAACCGGAGTTGGAATCGCGCACGGATTTTAAGCACGCATTGGGTGGAGCGAGAAAGAGCGATAGTTGCGGCGCACTGCGCCACGAGTTTGATTCCTGGCCACGGACAACACAAATGGCGAGTGATCATGGTGGACCTGATCTCCCATGCAAGAGAAAGTGACGCTCGGTATATTTTCACCTGCTCATTCGGCGTTTAGCTAAAATCGCACAACATACTTGGGCAGTGAAATTATGTGAACATAAATGCTCTGGATTAATGGACTTTGAACAGGGCATGAAGGGCAGTGGTATAACAAGTTAACTGTGCCTGCAGAGTGGATTAATACTGGAGGGCAGCTGGATTACTATAGATCATAAATACTGTAGTATTTTAGTTATTTTTTTATCTTAACTAGTTTATCTTACCAGGTAAGGCCCAGCGAGCCATGTAGCTCTTTTTCACAACCTGACCTGGCCACAAATGATAGCTCAACTGAAGTGGCTGATCACGTGGTAATTTATGGCAGCCAAATATACTAAATGCCCGTTGATTCGAAACGTGGATGGAAAACTAATTTCATGACAACCGCTTTATGTGTTTAGTTTGTTGTCCTTCCCCCAATTAGCCCGGTTGGCTACGTACGTTGCGACATAAGTTCAACACACATACATACAACACACTCATGGACGTCCTCCATCCCTTGGCTGCCAGTTCAACATTAGTCTCGACCACCAGCCATCGTCCCTTTCAGCCGTGCTGCATCCTGCCCAAGCGCAATTACTTTTCTTAACAGTTAGCAATTACGTCTTTAAACTACGAACGTTTCTCTCACGCATTCGTTCCTCTTTGTGTCCCCCGGTATAATGAATTCCCAGACTGCACTTCTCCACGCTTCTCTGCCCTTTCTCACAACGCGCTCCCCCCTAATTGAGAAATAAACACGAACACAGCAAAGCTCGTTCCCTGCTCTCACGCTGCCGCTTAGCCGATCTCCCTGCCCCCTCATTGGCTTCTTATCATCTCTTCATCACACAGCAAGAAACTCGTGGAAGGGACGACCGTGGAGGGTCGTGAGGATGGCAGTTACTATCTAAACGAATTTGTTTTGATTTTACCCGGCAAGGCCCACTGAGCTATATAGCTCTTTTTCAGAAGCGACTTATCATCACGTGGAAATTTATAGCCGTCAAAGCCTCTAAACGCGTGGTGATGTTGATTTTAAATGTGGAGGGGAAAACCGGAGGACGCGGAGAAAAATCCACGTGACCTCGGGGAAAGAGAAAGACACCGCAAACTCCAAATACACAACAGGTGTCAGGGTCGGGATCGAACCCACGACCTCCTGTACATCAGGCGAGGGCGAAAACATTTCGGCCACTCTCACCACGCACCGCGCCATCGTTCCAACGGCATGACTCTGCGACGACGCTCCGCTTTGCAAAAACGTCTCGCTCCAAAAAGCCGCCCGCACGAGCAACGCTTTGACAATTGGCCGGTCAGTCGGCTCATCAACAGGCGATCCCCAAGGGGGGGTTTGGGCCGATCGGAACATCTGGCTGCGTTGCGTGGCAGCGTTGCAAGAAATGTGCTCCGCATATGGGCTTTCACAAGCAGGGGCTGACAGCACGAAGTGACTGCCAGCTCGCATCCAGGCCAAGCATGAGGGGGAGCTAGGGGAGGGGTGGGGGAGGGAGGGGAAGTGGGGGGGTGCGGCGGGTGGAGACGGGAATTGGAACGGTCCATTCGTGTGCGGCTGGGTGGCGCTGTGGCGAGCGCTCTGCTCACGACGGTCCTTTCGTACGTTTCGATATCCGCGCCATCCTCGTAGCGCAAGAAGGTACCGCGCGCATTCCCAGACGAGTGTCAACTGTCAGTAGGGGGGCGATGTTGCCCACGTGGTTTTTGGTGTGCGAATTTACGAAACGTGTGAGAAATTCCACGCGAAGCCACGGCAAACCCTTTGCAGCAAGCGGGCTGCCGCTTGACCACGTCACCGAGTTCAAACCCCATGTTGAGGTTTGACTCGGCCACCCCCCGTGTAGCCTTTAACAGACCGTTGGGGAAAAAGTTGAGGTCGCTGTTTGGTACCCGCTATGTATGTAACGTGCGGATCGGAAACACAGACCCCCGGCGAAGTGGTAAAGAGCCCCCGTATAGCCTAAGTGCTGTTCGCGAGCACCTATGAAGGCCGGCACGGCACACGAAGGGGATGGTTGGCCACCACCACGCCTGGCCGCGTTTGTCTCTCGAGAGGTGATGTTAACACATTGGACAAATGACTAATTTCAGGCTAGGTCAACCTTGGGGAGGCTCGGAACTGATTCAGATAATCGTCACTGGTATTGCCCGTGAGCAGAAATCGAACTTAGGCTACCAAGTTCATAGCGCGGCGCACTAACCGCTGTGCCACCGCTCCCCACGACTCAGCCCACCATCGTCATCTCCATTGAATAAGTAAATAAATAACTAAATAAATAAATGCCTTTTGTGCAAAGTCACCATAGGAATGTGGAATTTACAACACAAACTCAGGGCCGCCGATGATGGAAATGAGCACCGTCCGCTGTTGATTTGATGTTATCCGCCAAAGAGAGGGATACAAATAAAATTCCTACTGGACATCTGTGACAATGGAGCTTCATAGCTCTTTGGATTTCTCCAGTGCAAATAATTATTTTGATTCTGGATGATGGCGGCGCCAGTTGGACCCCAGCCAGGGATTGAACTCGCAAACTTCCCCACTGCGAGTCACGTGACCTGGATAAGCTGCACACGCATAAGCAGCACCGTGCAGGCATGGAGCCACCCAGAGTTCGATTACCGGCCATGGCTAACATCGGTGGCGAGCGATGTCAGAACTTGCTGCAGGCGCTCCCCTCGGTCGACTCGCCCGCAAGAGGGATGTTGTGTATGAACATCATTGGGAAGACAAATGCGGCTGGGCAGGGCACTAGCCACACCACCCACTCAAGCCCCACTCTGGCCTTCCTATGTGCTCGCTCAACAGCACTCTCCCCGATATTCCATGCAGGCTATGCGGGCAATCTTTGCCTTCGAACCATGAGCGCTCTCTACACTGTTAACCATGGTCTGTTAAACCAAAGCATTTGGAGTCTGTCCCATGACCCCCTGCCAACGAGCCTTCGCCACAAACGGGGACATCGCTTGGCGCCAGAGGTCGCAATAAGGTACCCGATACCCGTACCCTACCCGATACCCGGGTACGGGTACCCGTTTGCGACCCTGGTGCGGCCGGGTCCGGGTATGGGTAAACCGTGAGTCACTGGTGAGTAAGCGTTTGTCACTCATTTCCCAACGTCTTGTCTCTTCTCACAATTCAAGTTCCTAGAATCAACCCACCCACGCCTGCAACATGGCTTCATCCCAGAGGTCGCAATCGGGTACCCGTACCCGTACCCTACCCGATACCCGGCCGGGTACGGGTAGCTGGGTATCGGGTAGGGTACGGGTACCCGTTTACGACCCTGGTGCGGCCGGGTACGGGTAAGGAATCAAAACCCGTTTGCGACCTCTGCTTGGCGCACGCACGAGCATGGTGGGGGCAACGATCGCTTTCCGCACTTACTCGGGTTGACTTGTGCCTCTGCCCAGCCGGCCAACCACAGCACGACCACGGAGATGTGCATCCTGGGTAGGTAGCAGTGCATCTTGGGGAGGAGATGTCGCACTTGGAGGCGGTGGCGTTGCATCGTTGGGCGACCTTGTGACGTCTCACTCGGCGAAGCACCTTGAAAGCTCCGACTTCATTTCCTGCGAGCAACAACGTGACACAATTACCAAGCCATGTGAACATAAGAGGAGAAGCGGGACGCTCCTGCGCTGCAGTTGTTAGCAGATCCAGTGGTCGCCAGTTCTATCTGCCGGCAGCACGTTAGGTACACGTGGGTGTAAATGCAATTTCCTGTAGAAGTTAACAAATATGTCTTCAGATACGGTCGCGTGTTCTTAATGTACGTGTGTATGTTGAACTTCTTTCGTGCCGTACGTAGTCAACTGTGCTAATCGGAGGTGTGGGGGGAGGACAACAGACTAAACACAAAGAGCAGTTCCAGTGAAATGAGTTTTCAATCTGGATTTAAAAGTTCACAGCTCCAGCGGCTTCCTAATATCGGAAGGAAGAGCGTTCCAGACCGCCGCAAAAGTGCACCTGAAAGCGCACGATACGGTGACCGCCTTTGTTTGATGGCCAGCCAGAAGCCGCCGCTGCGAGGATGACCAGAGTGTCACGCACTTCTAAAGCAGAGTCAAGCCATTCTGGCAACTCCCTGATGATTCTGGTTGTAACCACTGGCAAAACGTAATTTCCCAATTGTTGAGTGTGCACGGATAGCTCTCTAACACAACGGTGGTTGCTGCTGCCGCAGTGTTAAGTCGGCCACGTTTGTATCACGTAACAACTTGATTTACTACTGTGGGGTGGGCACTTGGTTTTTGCCCAGCGACCTAAATACGGGTGTAATGGTGGTTTCCTATCGATGTTCACACTGTCCACATTTTTCACATATCCGCCAATAACACGGTCCCCCGGCAAGTCGGATGACAACAGCACGGGCGTATATGTGACGGTGTAACGATTTACAAAAGGGTCACCACGGTATATTTGGTGTTAGCAAGTTCTCCGCTTGGTCGCGTGGCTTTTTCTGCGGGTTTTCCCTCCACATTTGGAAACACGCGTTTAGAGTATTTGGCTGCTTTAAATTTCCACGTGATAAGCCACTTCGTTGAGAAATAAAATGAGCCAAGAATGTCTGTGTGCAACGCTCGTGACGTCACTCCACGTCGACCAGCCCCCCTCATTAATAATCATGAGCAGGTGACATTCACTCCAAATTGACCCCCCCCCATTCATAATAATTAGCGGCTGACGTCACTCCACATGGGGGGCGAGGCGCCTCCTCCCCCTTCCTCGGCGTAAACTTACAACCCTCACTACAAAGGCAGAACCCTCACGTCACGCGATCTCCGTAACGCTGTTGAGACATTGAAGTAAAAAGGACGTCATGATGAACAAGGGATTATAACCTTTAAATGAAATATGTCTGTGTCACTGCGGCCTTACAAATTGCACACGCATTGATGCAATGAATATATCACGTCGCGATCTGCTTTTCGCTGGCAAGTGTCAGATTTACTGCAATACACCTTGGACGGGCAAAAGGCTATTTGAGAAATAATTTGTGGCCAGGTCGCTTGTGAAAAAAAGCTATATAGCTCAGCGAGTCTTAACTGGTAAAATTATTTTAGTTGCAGTTGATGTGTGACGGTGTGATGATGATCAACAAATATGCGACAGAGAAATGCGTTACGCGTGGCAGCTTTGAGAAAACGCAATCTGAGCACAAGCGGGAAAACTGGGAATAAACGGGCGTCATTCGTTCGTGTCAATATGACCTGTTCTTCAAAGAGCAAGTGTGACGCATAAATCGTGGCGAGTCAATTTTTATAGAAGCGATAATTTTATCTGCGCCTGAAGTAAACACGTGGCTATGTTCACACAAACGCAACATAAACACGCAGACACAGAGTAAAACGTCTATGCTTCAACAAACACACACATACAATAAACACACAAACACACAGTAAACCATATATACATTGACACTCACACACACATATACAAACAAAAAAGACTAAATTTCTCCCATAAAGCATTTAACAGACTTGGGGCAAGTGCTGCTAACGAGTAACTATGAAGGCCGGCACGGCACACGAGGGGGGGGGGGGTGGGTGGCCAGCACCACACCCGGCCGCCTTTGTCTCCCCAGTGACGATGTTTACACATTGCACCAGGTACTCATTTGAAGCTGAGCGAACCTAGGGGACGCTCAGGACCGGTTCAGATAAGCGTCACTGGTATTGGCTGTGATTGGAAACTCACATCACTGGGTTCAAAGCGCGGAGCACTAACCGCTACACCACCGCGCCCCACTCTCCACTCCTCACCCACACACACACAAGCGCACACACACACACACGCGCAACACCACGATCACAGCCCCCAGCTCTCATGCCTGGGACCATGTGCACGTATGCATGTGGTCATGCACGGACATGTTATTGTCCGTGCAAAGACGGTGCTGCAGGGGTAAATTTAGAAAATGTGGATTTCTTTTTTTACGTCTAGCATTCACCTTGAGTCTATCCTTGAATAGCAACTGCTAAAAGTTGATTAGGAAATGGTGTTGATTTCGGGTGACCTTTGAATATTATTAAAAGTGATGATGATGATGATGATTCACCACAGAATTTGTATCAACCATGTGCCCACGTTGGGTATGATACAATATTGTTACTTTCAAAGAGGAGTAAAATACACTAATTATTAGTCTTGTAATTTTTTTCAGGACATCCTCTCTGGAGACTCAGGATTCAATTATACACGAGGGCCCTAGGGATCTTTGGGGAATTATTTGACCGAGTAATTTAACATGTGGGAGGAAACCGACGAGCCTGAAGATAAACTCACACATGTGAGCGGATAACACTTACACAATCAAATTTCATACGCAGGCTCTCACGTTTATCGTTATCCCGTATCACAATTGGGTTTTCCTTTCGGGTTCGGTCTGCCATAGGAGTGACGTCAATCGGAGCTGTTGTACAAGGCCCTCCATCACCCAACGCAGTCGCACAAACCACGCTGTCACGTGGGCAAATGTGCCACTGATTTGTTTTTTTAAGCACACATGGCCCCCTTTGCGGACAAGCAAAAACCGAATGGACCATTTGGCAGGAAGGTGTACGTCTACCGAGGAGATGAAGCGATGAAATCGGCTCGTGCTCGGTGGAGCCGAGTTCAATTTCCGCGCACAGCCAATATCGGTGTCTATATGTGTGTGTGTGTAAGTGGGGAGCGGTAGTGTAGTGGTTAGTAAGCTGCACTACGAACCCGGTGTTCTATTCCTGCTCACGGCAAACATCGGTGATGATTATGTGAACTGGTCCTGGGCCTCCTCTAGGTCGACTCAGCCTCAAGTGAATACCTGATGCGGTGTGTAAAAATCGTCATTCGGGAGACAAACGCGGCCGGGCATGGTTCTGACCACCCACCCCCTCGTGTGCCGTGCCAGCCTTCGTAGGTGTTTGCTCTTAGCACTTGCCTCAAAACTCTGTTAAAGCTACATGGGGAATCTTTATTGCATCGCGTAATCATTAGAGATGGTAACAGCTTGGGGAGGCCTTCATCCAGCAGTGGATGGAACATGGCTGATGATTTTGATGATTCCTTAAGACCGCCACTGCTTCAGTAGCAGCAGCAGCGATTTGAAAAACAAGTTTAAAAATACTAAGGTTAGTTCCTACTACCGCAGCCAAATTGAGGCCCAGCATATGCTAAAGATACTCTCAGCACTATCATCAATAACAACCACTGTCTTATAATTGGAAAGATACATAAGCTAATGTTTCGGCCAGTAATATTTACACGCAGAGCGAGGAGAGAGACAGATGATTGTCGCTTATATTCGGAGACGATATTTTACGATTTCTACGAGCCAAAGGTCAAAGTATCTCTGCCCAAACGAGTGTGGGCGGGGGGGGGCACTCATCTCCGTTGGCAGGCCATGGCCAGCGGTGGAAGTTCCACATTCCTATGGTGAAGGCCAGTCTGTCCAGAGGCAAACCGCTTACCGACTTACCACACTGTGGTACTCGTTTTATTCACCGCAGAGGAATGATGGGCCGAGTCAAACCACGACCAAGGTTTGAACATCGAAACTCCCGAGCGCAAACGTAATAATGCACTGAATTTTTTCTTCTTGGTTCTTTCGGTAAAGTCACGTAGAATGGAAATAATAAAATAATACAAAATAAAACATAATACAATAATTCTCAATTCTAATTCTGAATTTTTTCGTCAATCCTTTGTTGAGTGAAGACCGCCACCCCCACTCCCGATCACCCTGTGTCAGCCATGGGGGGTTGTTTTGACCATACCTCGCCATGATGGCGAGTGCTGGGCGAGTGAAGCGAGAATGGAACGGGGGTGAGGCCCCTTACACAGAATGGCGGAGTATGGTCGAGAAGCCTCGATGGCAAAGATCCAGCGGTGGATTGCCAAAGGGAATACAAATCGCTTGCTCTTCGAATATTATGTAATACTGAAATGTTGAAAGTTGGGAATTTATTTTTATTATATGGAAATGTTGTAGGTCATCAAGGTAAAGGCATCGGTTTACCGTAACAAACTAATAAAAACACACTCCGAGGCTCTGTTTTGCCGAATAAACAAATAGAATAACATTGCGGTCTTATCGGCCCCTACACTGCGCCAACTCTCTCCAGCAGGAGCACTTGCTTTGGCAGCGGAAGACTGGACCAGTTTTGAGTTCTCCGAGTATCATGCATGAATATATATTTAACTTCTTTCGCGCCGTACGTAGCCCACCGTGCGGGAAGGACAACAAACCAAACACACAAAAAGCAGCCGCGAAGAAATTAGTTTTTTTTTAAATATAGATTTAAACGTGCATAGCTCGTGCGACTTCCTAATCTCGGAAGAGCGTTCCAACCGGCCGCAGAAGCGCACCTGAAAGCGCGCGATGCCGTAACCGTCCTTAAATTTCGATTTAAAGCTTTCGTGACTGCAGGGATTCATCTTCTTGGTTCTTTCGGTAAAGTCACATAGAATGGAAATAATAAAATAATAAAAATAAAACATTATAAAATAATTCTCACGACGTTTCGGCCACAACGCAAGCAGCCGTCCTCAGGTGAAGAATAGGTCTGTCGAGAAGACAGACTGAATGAAT